GGATTTTTTGGGGGGCCTTCTGTTGATGATTATGACTTCCACTGAGCACTTTGGCGTTTAGTTGTAGGATCATAGCGGAAAATTCATGTTTCATCCTCTGCAACATTCAAATTTAGGAAATGTTTATTTCTGTGACATGTTTTGATGATGTCATTCGCGTACTCAACATGCTGATGATTTTGGTCACCAGACAAGGAATGTGGTACAAATCGGCAAATAACTTTTTTCTTGCCCAAATCTTCCACTAAAATTTTACAATTGGTCTCTATATTAACATCAAATTCATCCACCATCATCCTCACAGTCCAACAACGATCTTCTTGTATCCTTTCTCTGACTTTTGCAATGAGTTCCTCATTACGAACAGAAACTGGGCGTCATTTCTACACCACTTTTGAATCGTGAATACCACTTGAAAATATGTGTACGAGATAAAAAAAATTGTCCCCATAAACTTGTCGTATCAATTCAATTGTCTCAATGGCGCTTTTTATGAGTTTTAAACATAATTTAATGTTAGCTTTTTGCTCCATGCTTATTTCGTAACAATGCACATCTTATTAGATTAACAAAATGGCAGCTTGTTGTCGTCTGCTTATCAGGCAGCATGCAAATTTGCCAGATCATAGTTGAAAGTTGCCTCTTTGGATTCCATGCTTTGCTTCAAATAAAAATAATAATAATCAGTCTCATAACTTAATTGTCGGACCTTGTAAAATGTGATTTTTTTTTTCTGAGAGAGGGAGAAAAACAAGAAAGGTCCGTGTAGCCAATGGTAACAAAAGTTGTAGGCCAGACAGAGAAGATGATGTTGCACTGGACACACTCTGAGAAGAGAGGAAAATAATCACCAAACAGGCACTGCAATGTGAAATAGAGGGATTGGGCAGACGACGACGCCCAAAAGAAGCCCTGATGAGAGAGCCACAAATGCTGGACTGGATTCCGTCACTGGATTCAGCTGGAGTCTGTGGTGATTCAATGCATGATATCATCATCATCATCAGTTCTCGTTATGCCTAGTGGCACATGAGGCTTCAGAGAGGACTTTCTATACTTTCCTGTCCTGTGCAATCTTCAATGCAGTTTTCCATGTCAAAGATGCCGCACTCAGGTCACTTTCCATCGTTCGTCTCCATGTTGTTTTTGGGCGCCCATGTTTTCTCTTTCCCTCTGGTGTCCATGTGAGAGCTGTTTTGGCAGGTATATCAGAAGTCATTCTCATAACGTGGCCAAGCCATTTCCATCTTCTCTTGGTAATCATACTGTCTAAAGTTTCTTGGTTTGTGGTTTGAAGTAGTTTAATGTTTGAGATTGCATCTGGCCAGAAAATTTTGATAATTCTACGTAGACATGTGTGGTGGAAGGTGGACAGCTTGTGTGCATCCTTTTTGGTCATTCTCCAGCATTTCACTCCATAGAGAAGAACTGGCAAAATGATGCTCTTGTAGAGTCGCAGTTTCGTTCCTTTGCAGTAATTGTTGGATTTTCAGATTTGCCTCATCCTTCCAAAAGCAGCTCTATCTTTGTTCAGACGTGACTGTATGTCTTCCTCTGTCCCTCCCAGTAGGGACACCACACTGCCAAGATACGTGAAATGTTCTACATTTTCAAGTGATTGGTTACTTATGGTCACTGGTTGTTGGTTTGGACTGTTTGTCATGATCTTAGTTTTCTTTGTATTTATTCTCAGTCCCACCATTTCTGCTGTGCAGTTTAGTCTGTTACTTTTCTCTTGTTCGTGTTTATGTGATAGGAGTGCTATATCATCTGCAAAATCAATGTCCTCAAGCATGGTGAATGGAGTCCATCGTATGCCTCTTAATGTCCTGTCTACTGTGTTCTTTAGTATCCAATCAATCACAAGGTTGAAGAGGAGAGATGACATAACACATCCCTGTCTTACACCTGTCTTTACTGGGAAAGATGTATTGTAATTTTTTAAACTGCAGGAAAAGTCTTTATAGAAGAGAGCAATTATGTTGACTATTTTTTCTGGAATTCCATAATGTCGTAAAATTTTCCACAGACCGTCTCTAAGGACGCTATCAAAAGCTTTCCTAAAGTCCACAAAATTATTATATATACTTCTCTGCCATTCGTTGCATTGTTCTAAAATGTTCCGTATGGCGAAGATGTGCTCAGTTGTTCCTCTGCCCTTTCTGAATCCTGCTTGTTCCACTCGTAGGCATTTATCTACTCCTTTTTCAAGCCGCATTATGATGTTTTTACAAACTATTTTGCTTGGTACTGAGAGCAGAGTAATTCCCCTCCAATTATTGCAGTCTGTTAAGTCTCCTTTTTTTGGGGATTTTGACTATTGTTCCTTCAGTCCAGTCATCAGGCAACATATTATCATCATCATCATCATCATTAACCACTTCAGCCGTTAATGCCTCGTGGGAAGGAATAATTTGCGATCCAGTGCACGTTGGCTGCCACTGGCTATTGTCATGCCGTAAAGGTGTAGAGTGTCTTTAATGTTGTCGATCCATGTTTTCCGCGGCCGTCCTCTTGCTCTTGTAGATGGCCAAACCACTTGAACTGCTGTTTCTCGATAAATCTAGTACAAGGTGTCGTTCCCACAATTTGCAGTAAGGTAGAATTCGTTCTCCTTTTTAGGAGAATTGAAAAATCTTGCAGAGCTGTTGGAGGTAATCAAGGAGATCCTGAAGTGGTCTTTCATGCGGATGTGACAAGAAGGAATTAAGAACAGCTAGGAGCGAATGTTCAAAGTGGATGAGCTTACACAACGTTAGGGGTTTATCCAGAAATTCCTGAAGTCGGTGGTCATAGATATATGGTCGTAAAATCTTAAATACAACACAAACAGTCACTAGAAAGTTCAACGGACAAGAAACAAAGCTTATAAACATCCAGGTTCAACATAAAACTAAAGATACGTTACAGAAGAAGATAAAGACATGTAGGGCTAAATTCTTGATGCAGATGTTTTCTCAGTTTATGAGAGAGTTCATAGAGATGGTTGTCCTGCAGATGTGGTCGTGGTCTATCATGCAGCTCAATAAATGACTTCTTATGCCGATAAGATTGGGACTTTCAGAATATTTATGTACTGCTCCAGCATGCTAGTTTAACCACCAAAATTCAAGTTTATCCGGTGCTCTCTCTCTTATTTAAGCTGTACACAGCCACCACACGACTAGGTCCAGCACAATATCAACAGTAAACATGGTTTGCCAGCCTCCTTCTGAAAGCAAAGCCTGTGTCGCTGATGAACTAGAACAAATAGCTTCCAGAAAAAACGTACGCATCAACAATACCATGGCTGCATATTTGACAGTAGACATGTGTGTTAGTCCTGCCAACGTCTACATGCAGCCAGCTGAGTACTACATTATTATTTTTAAAAATTTAGTATTTATTGTGGAACGCTTGGAGTACATTCCGAAATACACAGATTTTACGGAAACAATAAAAAAGGTCCTGGGTTATGAAAAGATTGCATGGTATGTTCATCTCAAAATTTCACGTTTGCAGCAAATGTTTTTATCACCAATTGCTGATTTGGACAATTCATATACGGGATTTACAGAATATGATGATAAATACACAGAAGATTTTTCATCTAAAATAAACAATGCAGCATGTAATGTAATCACGAAGAGCATAGATATCTATGATGATTATATAACATATGTTGACTATGCAGTTAAACTGAAACAGCACAATGCTCCAGTTGAAGACCTGAAGTCTGAAGGTGCACTGAACCAGGACGAGATACGAAACGCTGAAATGAAGGTGAATGACAGTCAAGACAATCAGTACGACCAGACTGTTGCACATTTTCCTCCAGGAGACGGGAACCGCTCACCAAACCATAGTAGTGGATTAAGCTCTAGTTGGTCACCAAGTTCTAGGAGCGAGTCAACAAGTTCTAGGAGTGGGTCACTAAGTTCTAGGAGCGGGTCACCAAGTTCTAGGAGTGGGTCACTAAGTTCTAGGAGCGGGTCACCAAGTTCTAGGGATGGGTCACCAAGCTCTAACCGTCGATTATTAGGCTCTCATTGTCTGTTAACAAGTACCAAGATTAGACAAACGTCGACAAGTGGTGAAAGGACAAACTGTAGAAATTTTTCAGCAGAACCATCACGTGACATTTCTTTTTCACAAAAGCCACAGTCATCTAGAGGTACTAAAGATACCACAACAGAAAACGGAAACCTCCTGAAATCAGATTTACTAGTTATTGTAATGACAGAGTGTGAATCTGCCTGTGAAGTAGATATCGCTTTGGGACAAAATTGTGGTAGTGATCTGGACATCAAAGCAGATGTCAAATTTAGTGCTCATGAATTCCTAAGTTCGGTAGACATCCTCGACTTATCAGACGATCAAAGCAGCCAAAAACATCCGAGAAAATTAGCGGAAACTGTTTTTGATGATCCTTCAATGAAAAATGCTTTTACTAACCTTTATGGGAAAACTCACAAGGATGCACTGTCTTTGGAAACTATTACTGATCAAATCTCACGTACAGTTACTCGTGGCAGGAGAGACTATGATTTACAAGCTTTGAATTGGCTCAGCCCTTCAGATAAAACAGACAAATTTGCGATTTTTTTGCCAGCTGTAGTCTCGCAGCTAAATTTGGATTATTCACCTACATCTTTTGATGACGAAATCAAGCGACAAAAATGTCTAAAGAATAAAGAGTGTGATGAAGATCTTGAGTCGTCAACAATTAAAGATGCAGTATTGTTGATTGCGGGTCTTGATGACTGTGCGAAACGTGAAGTTGGAGAAGTAATGGGTGATAAATGTACCTTGGTTTCATACGAGAATGTGAATGGTAACCTCGACGATGAGTGGCTAGGGAACAATGATGGAAACTGTTGGACTGAATATGTTAATTTTTGTACGAAGAGCGAGGAAGAAGCCACACAAATGGAATGTAGCTTTGTTGTATCCAGAAATGAGGATTGTGTCATAAAACTCACAAATGCTTGTCTAATAAAACAGTGTCCAGATTCAGCATCATGGAGTCGTTATGCCCAAATTTAGAAGGCAGTTTTGGATTACGATTACTCACAAAATTTGATCCTGTTAGACATATGCCATGGCGGTATGTTATCCAGACATTTGATCAGCCATCATCGGAAGTACCAAGTAATTTATATATCTTTATGAATTTTGAAGTTTTTCGACTTTCGTCATTTGATTTTAGGAAATTCCCAAAAGATGACAGCATTTTTGTTACCAACTTAGCGAAATCTGGGTTTTATTTCGAAAGTGAAACTGTGAAAATCGTTTGCTTTGGATGTCGACACACATTTCAAGGGTCTCGTGACTGTTCACAGAGCTCCACTAACAGTTCTCACAGCTCACTATGCCCTCGTCATGTATTCAACAAGCCTATAGACCAGTGGATCCAAGATTTACCTTTAGATGCCTTGACAGATTATTTCATTTACAATGGAAGCCTGACACCCTACCTAGAAGAAACACCTTCTTCCGTTGGACAGTCTTCTAGCAATTTAACCCCCAAAAATGTTCTTGAAACTAAACCGATCTTGGATTCGCCACAAACGTCGGCCATGAGTTACAGCAGTGGGTATCAATCAGAAGATATTCTGTTTGTAGAACCAGAAAGAGAAACACACAGTGATGTCCAGCTTCTAGTAACTGACTCCAGCTGTACAAATCTCCTTCAGTTTGAGTATCCCTCCTCCATCAACCACTCGTACAGCTTACCATCAAACCTCAACTATATATCAGGAGTTGTTGTTTGCGAGGAAAGACCAGAACCAAATGGATCACACTCAGTTCTAACGTCTGCCGCTAAACAGCCGTTACTGTATAAAAGTAAAAGTTCACACAACGCTGAAGGCACAAATGAGGTCGCAGAAGAAGGAGCAGTGGGCGGTATTCTTCCACTCAATCTCGATGCTGCAGCATATCCTCATTTCTCTATTGAGGCTGTCCGGAGGAAGTCTTTTACTGACTGGAGCCCTCAGCATACACACAGACCTGAAGATTTGGCTGTAGCCGGGTTTTTCTATGCAGGTACGTCTGCATAAAGTGTGCACGTTGAACTTTTTATTCTTTTAGTCCAGGAAAGGCGTTACTTAAACTCATTATATCCTAAACATTTTTACTTACACTACAACATGACTGTCACACAGTGAGTTTTCACACAGTGAGTTTTCACACAGTGAGTTGTAACACGGTAAGTTGTCACATATTGTATATTCCTCTGTTTTGTTTATTACGTGATTCATGTCGTCCAGCATCACACTATATTTAGATTGTATATTTTATAGTACATATTATATTGCATAGCCAAAAGCGAGAGACACATGGGACAAACAGAAAGACTTATCAGTCAACAAAGATCTGGCGCTTTTAGTCACACGACGCTTGGAGTTCATGTTGAGAGAAGGATGTAAGCACCTATGGAGTGCAATGATCGTATCCCCACTAAGTAACTAATATATTTATATCTAAGCGGGGAAACTATTAAATTCCATATCTGTATATATAGTTTAGTATTAGTTCCATGCCGTTTTTTCTCTCTTGACTACTATATGCATTAAATCTCTGCTGGTCAGTCGCGTATAATTTCCTGAACATTTAATTTCCGATGGAAGTAATGTCATCGACAGTGGTAATATGAAGTCTGCATAAATAATTATACCCATGTTTGCATTCTAAATGCTTCAGGCATGTGATCTACACTTATAAGGAAGGGTTCGCTTGGAGAACTGAATCCCTGCCAATGTCTAATATATTCACCAGTTTTTATTTCTCTGTGGAGGCCACCTTCATATAGCCTTTAGAGCTTCGCCTATGCATCTGAAGGTCAGGGTTCAAATTTGTATACAGCCGGACTTTAAATAAAAAATTATGAGCCTTGGATCTCATATCGACCTAATCTTAATGTGGTACTAGGTAAAGTCCTTGGAAGTAAAGGTGCTCGGCGTGATATTGACAACATCACCCACCGAGCAGTGCCAACTGGTCTATAGGATATAGGCTTAGCATTATATTCCCAACACACTTGAAGGCGTGAAAAAAGATCCTTTCTTTCTTCTTCTTTTCTCTTCTCCTAGAATACCTCGCGGCGTCCTTAACTTAAAAAAAAACAAACTTTTCCTTTTTCTCTGTATAGCAGAAAAAATACGGTCCTTTGAAGAACGTCGTTCTCATCACAGCCTGCAAGAATACCACACGGTACCATGGCAGCTAACACACTTTTTAATCTGTCATGCCCTGAGTGTCTTTGATAGCCGGTTCCCACCGTTCTGCTGGTTAACCGATGCATCTCCTTTCTGGAATAACAATTGCCACTTTTTTAAAAACAATTTTACGTCTTATGGTGCCCATGTACTAACTAACATAGTGCCAATCTGAGCCTCCATGGTGTAGTGGCTAGACGCTCGGTTACGGATCTGAAAGTCGTGACTTTAGCTCCTGGGGGAGCCGGAATGCATTCAAAAAATGACCCTGGTTTCCAGATTGACAAGCCTTAAACGCTTACCACATACAGTCCTGTGAAGTAACCACGTGACTCATGCACCGCCGACTGGTCTATAAAATATAGGTCTATTCCTGTATGCCCAATTCGCCTGAAAGCGGGGAAAGGATCGTTTGCTCTTCTTACATTCATAAATTCTTATGGGTTTGTCCGGAGTGCAAAGAGGGCAATTCAAACTCAACTAATTAGCGATGACAATATGAACTAAGCTGAACTAAACTGAACAATGACAGATGATCCGTTTCTTGTGTCCAGGCTACTCTGATTGTGTCAGATGTTTCTACTGTGGCTTGGGGCTGAAATACTGGAGACCGGCAGATATCCCAGCCTACCAGCATGCAAAGTACCGTCCGCGCTGTAGCTTCAACATCTTGTACAAAGGACAGGATTATATAGACAGGGTGCAACAGGAATTACGTTCGGAGCAGGTAGGTGTTCTTACACACTTGTGTTACTGAATACTTAGACTGCAAAATAAGCGGAGGATACATTTCCTCACCTGAAGAAAACATTAATTGCTTCATGGTTTTATAGAACATGTCGTAGTCTGATGTGGTGGGGGAGGGGTGTGAAGGATTGAATATCATCTTGTCTGGGCATATT